GTTAACATAAGTTTCCCATGCCAAGTCCTTAAATTGAAATTGAATTGAAAATAAAATTGAAATTGAATTGACAGAGCGAGAGAGAGAGGTAAAGAGATTGTGTAAGAGGGAGAGGAGAGAGAGAGAGAGAGAGAGAAAAGAGAGAGAGAGACAGAGAGAGAAAGAGAGACAGAGAGAACAGAGAGACAGAGAGACGAGAGACATAGAGACAGAGAGAGAAAGAGAGAGAGAGAGAGAGAAGAGAGAGAGAGAGAGAGAGAGAGAAGAAGAGAGAGAGAGAGAGAGAAGAGAGAGAAGATAGAAGAGAGAGAGAGAGAGAGACAGAGAGAGAAGAGAGAGAGAGAGATAGATATAGAGAGAAGAGAGAGAGAAGATATAGAGAGAGAGAAGATAGAACAGAAGACTGACTCGATACGGATACTTAGACGGAGTAGGACGAGAGAAGGTACGAGTTCGAGCGATATCCCATTCAGTAGATCTACTTATCGTCAATGATAAGTATTAATTCTGATTATATAATAGTAGCCTGAGAAATCTAGAGGTACATATCAGACATAGACCTCAGAAGATAGAGAGAGTAGATAATGATAGACAGAGAGAATAGAGAGAGAGACCTGTTTATACTTTCCTGTCTATAATCTATCCTACAATAGGTTTGAATATTCACATCCATCCACCTGTAGCCTACTATTATTTCATGCATATTTACAGCTAACTGTGGTCTGACCCATTCCAGCCAGTCTGGGTCGTCTCTGTCTCCCTCCATGTAGCAGATAAGCTGTAGGTCAACCTCTTGAACCCCAGGCACCAGAACATCCAGGCACCAGCACGTCTACCCAGGACGGCATTGGACAGAGGGCAGACAAATGCTCAAATCGGGGGGGGTGTGTGTGTGTTGATTTTTTTTTATTTGTGTGTGTGTGTGTGTGTGTGTGTGGTGTGTTGTGTGTTGTTGTGTGTGTGTGTGTGTGTGTGTGTGTGTGTGTGTGTGTGTGCGCATAGATTAGATGGGTTTAGTCTGGTGTGGTTGACATTCTGGGTGGTTGTGCAGTGTGTGGGGAACAAAAGGCTTGCAGGACAGAGGTATGAGAAACAGGAAGATCTGCAGCTCCGCACCACAAACACATTTTAGTCATTTAACAGACACTCTTATCCAGAGCGACTGCGTACATTTTCATACTTTATTTTTCATACTGGCCCCCCATGGGAATCAAACCCACAACCCTGGCATTGCAAATTCCATACTCTACCAACTGAGCCACACTGGACCATGTCTCTGCTGCTACATTACCCTGCCTCTACTCTAGTCCTCCAGTCCCTGCTGCTACATTACCCTGCCTCTCCTCTAGTCCTCCAGTCCCCTGCTGCTACATTATCCTGCCTCTACTCTAGTCCTCCAGTCCCTGCTGCTACATTACCCTGCCTCTACTCTAGTCCTCCAGTCCCCTGCTGCTACATTATCCTGCCTCTACTCTAGTCCTCCAGTCCCCTGCTGCTACATTACCCTGCCTCTACTCTAGTCCTACAGTCCCCTGCTGCTACATTACCCTGCCTCTACTCTAGTCCTCCAGTCCCCTGCTGCTACATTACCCTGCCTCTACTCTAGTCCTACAGTCCCCTGCTGCTACATTACCCTGCCTCTACTCTAGTCCTCCAGTCCCCTGCTGCTACATTACCCTGCCTCTACTCTAGTCCTCCAGTCCCCCTGCTGCTACATTATCCTGCCTCTACTCTAGTCCTCCAGTCCCCTGCTGCTACATTACCCTGCCTCTACTCTAGTCCTACAGTCCCCTGCTGCTACATTACCCTGCCTCTACTCTAGTCCTCCAGTCCCCTGCTGCTACATTACCCTGCCTCTACTCTAGTCCTTCAGTCCCCTGCTGCTACATTACCCTGCCTCTACTCTAGTCCTCCAGTCCCCTGCTGCTACATTATCCTGCCTCTACTCTAGTCCTCCAGTCCCCTGCTGCTACATTACCCTGCCTCTACTCTAGTCCTCCAGTCCCCTGCTGCTACATTACCCTGCCTCTCCTCTAGTCCTCCAGTCCCCTGCTGCTACATTATCCTGCCTCTACTCTAGTCCTCCAGTCCCCTGCTGCTACATTACCCTGCCTCTACTCTAGTCCTCCAGTCCCCTGCTGCTACATTATCCTGCCTCTACTCTAGTCCTCCAGTCCCCTGCTGCTACATTACCCTGCCTCTACTCTAGTCCTACAGTCCCCTGCTGCTACATTACCCTGCCTCTACTCTAGTCCTCCAGTCCCTGCTGCTACATTACCCTGCCTCTCCTCTAGTCCTCCAGTCCCCTGCTGCTACATTATCCTGCCTCTACTCTAGTCCTCCAGTCCCCTGCTGCTACATTACCCTGCCTCTACTCTAGTCCTCCAGTCCCCTGCTGCTACATTATCCTGCCTCTACTCTAGTCCTCCAGTCCCCTGCTGCTACATTACCCTGCCTCTACTCTAGTCCTACAGTCCCCTGCTGCTACATTACCCTGCCTCTACTCTAGTCTCCAGTCCCCTGCTGCTACATTACCCTGCCTCTACTCTAGTCCTCCAGTCCCCTGCTGCTACATTACCCTGCCTCTACTCTAGTCCTCCAGTCCCCTGCTGCTACATTACCCTGCCTCCACTGCTACATTACCCTGCCTCTACTCTAGTCCTCCAGTCCCCTGCTGCTACATTACCCTGCCTCCACTCTAGTCCTCCAGTCCCCTGCTGCTACAATACCCTGCCTCTACTCTAGTCCTCCAGTCCCCTGCTGCTACATTACCCTGCCTCTACTCTAGTCCTCCAGTCCCCTGCTGCTACATTACCCTGCCTCTACTCTAGTCCTCCAGTCCCCTACTTCTACATTACCCTGCCTCCACTGCTACATTACCCTGCCTCCACTCTAGTCCTCCAGTCCCCTGTAGCTCATTTACATTTACATTTACGTCATTTAGCAGACGCTCTTATCCAGAGCGACTTACAAATGCTCAGTTGGTAGAGCATGGCGCTTGCAACGCCAGGGTTGTGGGTTCGTTTCCCACGGGGGGTGGGGGGGGCAGTATGAAAATGTATGCACTTACTAACTGTTAAGTCGCTCTGGATAAGAGTGTCTGCTAAATGACTTAAATGTAGTCTGGTCAGTAGGGGTTCTGAGAGTGATACATGGGTCATCAGACTCTCAAGGTTTATATCTATTGTTATTTTTACTACTGCTCTTTAATTATTTGTTACTTTTATTTCGTATTATTTTATATTGTATTTTTTGTGTGATTTTTTATTTGTATTTTATTTTGGGGTATTCTTTCTTAAAAACTGCATTGTTGGTTAAGGGCTTGTAAGGGTTATATGTGCAACATTAGGAATCAAAGTTAAAAAAGAATCATAAGAAAGTGCAGAGAATATTCCAGAATGGTATAGAAAGAACACAGTGAGGTCACCGTTATTTGGTGGACATTTCTATGAGGGCTTTATCTTTTCATCTTTTTATTTTATTTTTTATTTAACTTGGCAAGTCAGTTAAGAACACATTCGTATTTACAATGACGGCCTACACCGGCCAAACCCGGATAAAGGGGGAAGCTATGTTACCACGCAACACAAAGTGTGCTGTTGTAACTCAAGTTAAATAATTTATGTTCTTTATAAGTTATTGAATATCCTACAAGCCTGATATGAGTAAAACATTTCTATCATGTATTGGAAAGCATTTTGACCCCTTGAACTTCACAAATAAAACTTGGAAATTAACTAGGCCTATTGAGCAACAGCGTGAAAAAACACAACCAGTCCAAACAAGACAAGCCCATAATAAGGTGGCAGCCAACAAGCCGATAAAGCCATAGAACTGCTGCTCTACCCACAGCCTTTGACACCACGGCTTTTGTTAACGCTTCACATTGAAATTGACCCTGGCCCTGTGCGAGGGAAGGAGGAGGCGGTGTTTTCTGAAGCCACAGACAACAACAAAAAAACTATTCGGCAATTGACAATTTCCTGAAGGGAGGTCGGGCTTATCACTCCCAAATCTCTCTCCTAAGTGTCCCATCTGGAGTGGTCCCAGGTTGGCTGAATTGGTTCAAGCACGCAAATGACATTGTTACATGCACACACAATGGACTAACTACCTGAGAGAGAAGCTGGAACCAAAGCTCAGAATCTATGCTGTGTGTTTTACCACTCCAAAAGTGAGTGACGTCCTCTTCGGAAACTATTTATGCAAAATATTTCAGGTAAGGAATGACTATTTTATCAGTGTATAAAGTACTGCAGAGATGTAATCGGAAGAAAAAATTGGCATATATTCTAAACTGTTCTCGGGCAAAGTTGGTTGGTGCAATTTTGCGCACGCGTTTAAATAATGACCATGAATCAGTAGAGTTCAGTAGTGTAGAGAATGTTGTCTGCTTCGTTTTCTCTTTGAATGAAATGATTATAATTGTAATGACCCATAGTTCTTCGAGTCACCACACGTATTATTGTACTGCGTGCCACACGTCGTCTTCGTGCGTTGAATTAGGCTGAGATTATTGCACAATTGCCTTCACTTAGCGCGGTAAATAAACGACTTTTCTCTCTGTGGAGACTGCTATTGGGTGTTTTACACATGAGTTACATTTTCTAATAGGGAATTTAATATTTTTTAAGATGCCTTAAAATAATATTGTCACAGGCATATAAATATGCCTTCACTAAGCAGTGTAATACTTGTTAGTTTGAACACGTGCAGCTAATGTTTCCACACATGCCTCCAAAATCGGGACAGTAGAATTCAATCACATGCAGTCAGTTATAAATGTATGTATCTTCAGGGCCTATTCAATCAAAACCGTAAGCAGATTTCTTGTTTAGTCTACTCTATACATTTTTACATGCAGAATTACATTTTCATTCACTGTGATCAAAGATATCTACTGGACAGCTTCTGTACAGTTTCTGTACAATATTTTTGTAAGGTTTTCTGTGCATCTTCCTATATAACTATCTCTGTCCTGTCTCTGTGTCCCAGCAGGTATGATTCAGAGGAAGGAGGTTGTTCTGTCAGTCCTGGGGGAGCTGCAGGATGCTACAGAGAGCTCCGGCCTGGACGCCCTCACCAGGGTAGCTCTGGAGGTCCACCAGGTCCTGACCCCCTTCACCCTACCCTCCTCCTCCTGCCAGGAGTTCCCTGACTGGGCAGGCATCGACGGCGTGGCCCATAGCCTGTACCCTGCTGACGCCCCTGGAGGCCTCCTACCTCTGGTCTGTAAGGGAGAGGGGAACCTGCTGTTTGATGCAGCCAGCATGCTGCTAGTGGGGACTACTAGTCTCAGTGTGGAGCTACAGGTGAGCAGGAAGTGTTTCTTTTTGCATTTGAAATATGTGTTTCATTGGCTTCTGTGGATTTTGTATTTCCAAAGCATGAAGGTTATAATTGACGTCATTTTGAATGTGGATAACTCAGAGCTAAAATGTATTTTCCATGTTTTCAAAAATATAAAAATACTGCATTCTGACAACACATGTTTGCAAGATTATAATTAGTTACTGTATCGGTCTGTAGCCTAATTTGTACTGTACGTGTCCTCCGTTCCCTCCAGGTGCGTACGGTGGTGGACATGCTGCTGTGGAAGAGGTACTACCTGGGTGGTATGATCGACTCCAAGGTGATGCTGCAGGCAGCCAGGTTCAGCCTGTGTGCCGAGGAGTCCCAGGATATGCTCAACCTCCCCCTCTCCGTCCTCGAGGCTATCTTCGACGCCGACGTCAAAGCCTCCTGCTTCTCCGGCTCCTACGCCAACATGTGGCACCTCTACGCCCTCTCCTCTGTCCTCCGGTGCAACATCTACTCTGTCTACCCCATGTACAACCTCAAGATACGGCCCTACTTCAACCGCCTGATAAGACCGAGGTCCTACCCCGAAGACCTGGATCCTATCACCATGCACATCATGTGGTCTGGAGAGCTGGAGGGGGGCTCCACCAGCTCCAGGTTCAGACCCAGAGTCTTTGTAGCGTTAGTCCAGGCTAGTGACCTCCAGGTGGGCAGTCCTAACGACGAGCAGAGGGTCCCCCCGCTGAAGTCCCTGGAGCTTCTCAAGCGGGACTCCCACCTGTCTTACTCCAGTCTGAAGGACAAGTACAACATCACCAAGAGCACCTTCTACCGCTGGAGACGGCAGACACAGGAGCACCGCAAGAAATCTGCTGCCAGGTCCACCTCTATACAACTCCTTAATACTCTTTGTCTGTTGTAGATACTGATGACATCAGCACCATGGCACTCTGGCACTTTCCCACTTTTTAATGGCTTGTTGTGTTTGTTTGTGTTGTTTGGTCTGTATGTTTTAACCTTCTGCTGACATTGAATGAGTATTAATCTGTCTATCTCTTTCTGTGAAGGTACGAGGCCAAACACTTCGTCCAGGCGTGCTACCTGGAAGGGAATCTTATCCCACTGCACCAGTTTAAAGAGTTCTTCCCTGAGATCTCCAGGTAAATAAGACACTGAAAGCACCGTCAACACAGTTCAGATCCCCACATGATGTACTTCTTTTATCGTTTTTTAAATGGTTCAAAAAATTATATTGATTTTTAACTTGACTTTTCTGTGCCCAGAGAGCCATGGTCATGCTGCCGTTGTCTTGTATAGTTATGCTGCTGAATGACCTTTCCTTTGGAACAACAACAATGTGATTCTCTTCTAGGTCCACCTACTACGCCTGGAAGCACGAGCTGATCTCGTCCGGCGGCAGTTTCTCCACGGGGGAGGTGAGTCCAGGGGACAGCACGGAGCAGGAATCCTGGTCCTCCCCTGAGTCCAAGCCCGGGCAGGAGGACCGTGAGGTAGAGCCAGAACCAGAGCACCACAACAGCGTGGCCAGTCTGTTTGGCCTGAACTACAACAATGATAAGATGGACGGGGAACGGGCCCAGAACCTGGCGCTGATGCAGGAAGCCAAGAAGGTTCTTCAGAAATGCATCGCTATGAACACCTCGTTCCCCTTCAGGATCTTCAAGAGGAGCTTCCCAGGCATCTCCAGGTCAGCGACAACGATTTGACTGATGTATAGCATGGCCTTTAATCAATGATTTGTCTTTTTGTTATTGTATTCATCTTTTTTTTTTTTTGCCTTCTGTTTTCTTTCTTTCTCCCGCCTTCATTTTATTGATTTACTGTTAAGTGTGTTTACAATTTGAAATGGAGTTTAACTAAAGTTTTAATTTGAAATAATCCAGATCCACATACTACAACTGGAGGAGGGAGGCTATGCTGTTCAATAGAAGCTACAAGGCTAGACGCAGTGAAGACGGCTCCGATGCGGATAAGAGTAGCCCCACCGGTGGTCTGTCCCCTATCAGGGGGACTGAGAGCCATGGTCACGCTGCCGCCGTCTTCCCCAGAATGAAGATCTGTAGAAACAACCGTAAAGGCTTCAGGCTGGTGTTCCTACGCAGGAAGAAACTGAGAGAAGCAGCCAAGGTGAAGTTGTGGAAGTCAAGATGGCCGTTGTCCAAGTTCAAAGTGAACTACCCCTCCCTGTCACTCTGTTTCTATTGGATGTGGCGCAACGGCCCGAGTCAAAACAGGAAGGAGGAAATCACCCACCCGTCTCTAGAGGTGAACAGACCTGAGAATATTATGGAGAGCGACAACCCAGTAATGGAGAACGTTAACGCCGTGACGAAGAGTGAGATGAAGACGAGGGGTCTGACACAGGACGTGTTCTTCTCTGAGGGGGATCCAACAGAGGGTCCGAGAGGCCCTTCCACAATAACCTCTGTGACACCCCCCTTTGATGCCCCTCTCCCTCTACCCAGGTCCCCCCTGCCCCTCCCCAACCCAGCCAAGATGTCCGCCGCCGCCACCACCGCAACAGACGACCAGATGTTTGTGATGGATCTGGTGGTCCTGGCCAACTTCAAGGCCAAGGCCAAGCTGTTCCTCCAGCAACGCTTCGAGGAGAAGTCCTTCCCCACCTTCAAAGAGTTCAGGTCCTACTTCCCCCTGACTCCCCGCTCTACCTATTATATGTGGAAGAGGGCCCTGCATCACGGCGTGCCACTGGTACATGGCTGAGAGACATGGCTGAGAGAGGGCACCAAGTGAAATGGTGGTCATACACTTTGTTACAGTAGCTTTAAGCAGAAGGGTGTCCCTGTAACAAACTGAAATGCTCTCGTCTCTAGTCTCTTCAGAATCCTAAACTATCCCCTCTCCCCCCTTCACTCCCTCAAACAGAGCCATCAGTATCAACTCACCCCCTCACCCACTTTTTTATTTTTTATGATGTAGATTTTTCACAATTTTTCTTCAACTGAGCACACTGTATTTGTTTGGTTGGAGGTTTGTTTGAGCACCTGGGTGAAGCCTAATGCATTGGAATTGTAGCTAAATGCATCTTAATCATGATTTGTCCTCCTCCTTGTTTGTTCCTGTCCTCCCTCCATTCCTTTATCTATCACCTTCAGCTCATGGACATTTGCACGTGTGTGAAAAGAGACTGTTCCACTAATCTTCCGCTGGCCTCCAGGCAAAAGGCAGTTCAAAGTCACCCTGATGGTGACAGTGGAGCTTTATTTAAATGGCTCTTTGTTTGAGAATGGTTGTTCCTTCTCCTCTTGTCTCTGTAGTCTTGGTTTTAATCCCATCTCTCTCAGGATGGTTGGTTTTAATCTCATCTCTCTCGGGATGGTTGGTTTTAATCCCATCTCTCTCAGGATGGTTGGTTGGTTTTCATCTCATCTCTCATCTCTCTCTTAGTTCGTTAGTAATTGTTTTCAGGGTGTGCTGTTTTTGTTAATCCATTTGATGTCTGTCTATCTGTTCTAGAGGATTCCAAGTGGTTTACCTTTTTTTGTTAATGAGTTGTATTGAAAGAAGTCTGTATCTGTTCTAGAGGATTCGTAGTGGTTGAAGTTTTTTGTATTTTATTTTTTATTTTATTTTTATTTGTTGTATTGAAAGAAGTCTGTTTGAGTTATGGGGAAAGGTATTTGTTTCAGAAATCAAGTGTATCCTTTTTTTCCCCCCTCCCTTTTGGTTGTCCAGGCATGTTCTGCAAACACTGAGTTTTGATTCCCCCCAAAAATGTGACAATTGAATGTACATCCAAAAGGATGATTTCACTTGGTGCATCGCTGTTTCCGTTTCAGGGTCTTTACTTCAACATGGTGTGATTTATATAGCAGTAGATGCTACACCAAACAGGTAATCACCTATAGCTGTGGCCCAGCGAGTCTCCTAACTCTAGGTGTTCTGCACTATGTTATTTCATTGGGATACAGAACATATCTCAACCACAAACAGTATGAGGGGGGTTTATTGGTTTTCTACCAAATGTTACAGGGTTGTCTTTTCAAGACACATTTGTTTTATTTTCATTGACACATTTGTTTACTAATGAATGTTTACAACACTTCTGGACTCACTACCAGAACATGTAATTATAATATACTAATTGGCCTAATTGAGTATATATTTCCTTTTATGAATCTATTTTCTTTATGATTACCATACTTTTTAAAAAATTTTTAACTACCCATCATGTTTTTGTCTGGTTACTATACTGTGAAGTGTCTTCTTGATATTTGAAGTCTTAAACTATGGTATGTTAGTTTTCATCAATTATGTTTTTGACTTTTACATAACTTTTTTAATGTCAGTAATTTTTTTTCCAAACCACATTTTCTCTTGAGTATTGACATTTTTAGACACTGGTGTATAACTGCCGTCATAGTAACCAAACATTCTATATTTCAGTTTCTGCATATTTATTTGTTTGTCATCTGATGGAGTGTACAACAACAACAACAACATGTTTCTCACTCACATAGTGGAAAATATTTTTTACCCCATTTTGCTATAAGGCAGAATATCAATAAAACCACCAACTCAAACTCGGCTTGTGCTTGATTGCAAGTCAACCCAATCGTACTGCTTCTAATTCCATTCACATACCTGGCAGCAGGTTATCAAGCTTTAGTAGTTCATTGTCCTCGAGCTTGAGGAGACCGTGATGTAGGACTAGTCTTCTGAGGCGTCGACCAAGCTGAGTTCTAAACAGCGACAAAACACGGTGATCGCAGTGGGCTTCTTAATCTGCTTCGACAGGGGGCATGTTCTTTTCTCAATCGATGGCTCTCTCCCAACTGCTATGTCAATGGGCCATGGGTTGTTCATTTTCTGATGTCTTTTTCACCTGTGCTGACATTTACATTTACGTCATTTAGCAGACGCTCTTATCCAGAGCGACTTACAAATTGGTGCATTCACCTTATAGCCAGTGGAATAACCACTTTACAATGTTTTTTTTTTTTTTTGGGGGGGGGGGGGGGGGGGGGGTAGAAGGATTACTTGATCCTATCCCAGGTATTCCTTAAAGAGGCGGGGTTTCAAATGTCTGCTCAATCATCATCTGATTTCTGAGTGGCAGAACGTGTTCTGTATGTCATGTCATGTTACCCATTTATCAAAGCTAAAGGCAGTGGAACAAAGTGGGGCTTCAGATCGTTTTTTACAGGTAGCCATGAAGTTCATGTGAATTGCCAACTGAATCTGTCTGACCAACAAGTGTTTGAAACACAACCATAGTTTTTCTAAGGTTCAGATGAGATTGTCTGACCTCATAAAAGAGCAAGATGGTGGTGAAAGCAACTCAGCAACTCTTCATTCACTCTCCCCATAGGGAGTTACAGTGCATCAAATGCACAACTCAGTCTTTGACCATGATGACACGATCTCTTTCTGACTCTAGTCTCCATTCTGTCTGCTCTATTGTCCTTGTGCTAATGAAGGGAATGGCTGGCTGGGGGGGGGGGGGTTAATTGTATGCATGGTGACAGAGGTGTAAGTAGATGAGAGAGGGATAGGAGTTCCAGGGGTGCAGAGAGAGAACGATCTGGGGCCTGGGTAGGAGAGGGTGGGAGAGGGCCAGGGTAGTGAGGGCCTGGGTAGAGAGGGTCTGGGTAGAGGGGGCCTGGGTAGAGAGGGTCTGGGTAGAGGGGGGTGAGGGGGTGGGAGAGGGCCTGGGTAGAGGGGGCCAGGGTAGAGAGGGTCTGGGTAGAGGGGTCTGGGGTAGAGGAGGGTCAGGGTAGAGGGGGTCTGGGTAGAGGGGGTCTGGGATGGGTAGAGGGAGGGTAGAGGGGTCTGGGTAGAGGTGGTAGAGGGGGGGGTGGAGAGGGCTGGGTAGAGCTGGGTAGAGGGGGCCGGGTAGAGGGGTCTGGGTAGAGGAGGGGGGGTGGGGCCGGGTAGAGGGGGTCTGGGTAGAGAGGTGGCTGGGTAGAGAGGGCTGGGAGAGGGGCTGGGTAGAGAGAGGGGGTTGGGTAGAGAGGGCCTGGGTAGAGGGGGTGGGAGAGGGTCTGGGTAGAGGGGGCCTGGGTAGAGAGGGTGGGAGAGGGCCTGGGTAGAGGGGGCCAGGGTAGAGAGGGGGCCTGGGTGGGAGAGGGCCTGGGTAGAGGGGGCCTGGGTAGAGGGGTGGGAGAGGGCCTGGGTAAGAGGGGCGGTAGAGGGGGGCCTGGGTAGAGGGGGCCTGGGGTTAGAGGGGGGGAGGAAGGAAAAACACCCGTATCTATCCAATCTTTGGGAGCCAGAGACCAGATGGGGATCAGGAGGACCATCAGCCATACCTAGCGAACCCTACTGCCAAGGCCTACTGCCAAGGCCTACTCCCCAAGGCTCTTCCTGTTCTGTTGATCTGAACTGATTGGCCCTGATACAGTATTTTCCTTGTCTACTCAGGTGGAAATAGCTCCATCTTGCCCTCGGATAGTTTCACCATCTTGTGGAAGTATCCCTGTTTGGTTTCCCGGTCCTCTCCTCAACACTTTGAAAAAGGTCAAAGGTAATTGAGGAGAGGAAACGTGGAAACAAATGCGCTTGTATGAAATAACTCTCCCCTCGCGCGTCATCAGGCAAGTTATGTTTACAGGGGTGGAATCCCAAAATAAATGTGTGAAGTGGTAAAAACAAATTGAGCTAGTTGTGAATGACCTTTCATAGATAAAAGGATAAGTAGTGAATGACCTTTCATAGATAAAAGGATAAGTTGTGAATGACCTTTCATAGATACTCCTGAGTGGCGCAGTGGTCTAAGGCACTGCATCGCAGTGCTAACTGTGCCACTAGAGATCCTGGTTCGAATCCAGGCTCTGTCGCAGCCGGCCGCGACCGGGAGACTCATGGGCGGCGCACAATTGGCCCAGCGTCGTCCAGGGTAGGGGAGGGAATGGCCGGCAGGGATGTAGCTCAGTTGATAGAGCATGGCGTTTGCAACGCCAGGGTTGTGGGTTTGATTCCCACGGGGGGCCAGTATAAAATATATATATATATATATATGTATTCACTAAAAACTGTAAGTCGCTCTGGATAAGAGCGTCTGCTAAATAATGTAAATGTAAATGATAGATAAAAGGATAAGTAGTGAATGCTTTTTTTAATGTGTGCATGTGTTTCTCCTCTGAGAAAACAACAGCTGATTCAAAGACAGTGTGGCATTTTTTTTAAACCTAGATAGTGTGTGTGTGTATTGATATGTAGTGCCGTTAAAACATTTTTTTTTGATGTAGTTCTGTCCTTGAGCTGTTCTTGTCTATTAATGTTCTGTATTATGTCGTGTTTCATGTTTTGTGTGGACCCCAGGAAGAGTAGCTGCTGCTTTTGCAACAGCTAATGGGGATCCTAATAAAATACCTAAAGGCTTCCTGAGATAGAGAGCTGAGAGGACACACTTGAACTTCCCAGTGTTGAGGATCAGCGTAGTCCAGGACCCAGTTGCACAGGGCAGGGGTTCAGACCCAGGGCCGCTGAGCTTAGTAATGAGCTTGGAGGGCACTATGGTGTTGGAAGGCTGAGCTGTAGTCGATTTAACAGTATTCTTACATAGGTAATTCCTCTTGTCCACTATGAGGGGTATTCACAGTGTTCTTTCTCTCTCTCTGTCACAGTGTTCTCCCCCCGCCCGCCAGAGTATAGAGTCTGTCTGAGGTGCTAAGCTACAGCACTTTGTTTGGCTGGAGGCTGGGGGCTGGAGCCTTCCTGCATTAGCATATAGCAGTTAGGAGGAGAAACAGAGAGAGTGT